CCGGGTGTATCTTGCACCCAAGTTTCCGCAAAGCCATCACAACAAGAGACGAACCCTCGAATGAAGCCCTGAACCCTCAAGTCTGCTTTGGGGTTTCAAGTCACCCTCAAGTCGGGGCGAACCCTAGCCCCCAAGCAGGAACCCTCTGGTCGTAGCCCTCTGCCCTAAAGCCTGCATGGTCAGTTGCTCGTGTGTTTGGGGCCCCTGGCTTATTTGCCCTAAACCCTCAACCCCATAGTCAAGTGAACCCACAGGCGGGAGCCGGGAACCTTCCACGCGAAAAAGCAGCCCCCCCGCTGGATCAGCGCAATCCTGGTTCAGGGCTTCGGGTTGAAGAGATTCGGGTACATAGGGCTTTCAGGACTTAGGCCCCTACATTGGGGGGAGGGGTTAGACCGAGTTGGGCTCGGTGTATTTCTTTCGTGGCTGGCCAATTCATGCTGACCCGGGAGAGAAAACCTTAACCCAACCCGTCTCCGCTTTTGGTTGCCCCCTAGTCACCCTAGTCGGGCGCCATTCGAAGGGGACAGGCATCCTTTGACTGATTTGGGCGCTTAAGCGCCGTGCAGGGTGCTCCATCAACTGCGGGCTCATGAGCGGTGGTCGAACTTTGTGGGAATGGAATATGGGGATTTCAGCGAAACAGGGGTACCCCGGAACCCCCAAAAAAGTGGTCACCCCTATTTTCGGAAACCCCCATCTAGGGTGCGAGGGCTTCCCTAAGCCACCCCCAAGCCCTCAAACCAGCAACAACCCCCTCAACCTCGCAGCTGCTGGCCCAAGGCGCTGTCCCAAAAAGTAACCTGCGGCATGCTCGCTGCATCCGTTGAGGTTGCCCTCTCCTGGAACTTTCGGGGTCTATTTGGGGGATTCTTGGGGGTTGGAGGCGGCGTATGAGCAGTGGATGAACAGTTCTCTTTTCCAGGAATTCCTGTACTCAAAACAACACCAAAGCAGAAGGAGCACGAGGGCTCCATTTCCCTGCGAGTTTCGGGGTTCTACCAGCTTTCAAGAAAGGGGGTTTTACGGTCTGAGGTCTTGGGGCTGGCTCTTTCAGCTTTGGGTTTTTAGGGCTTCGCGTTCCAGGGGGGAGGGGTTCGGGCCGGTTCAGGCTTCGGGTTTAGGGATTAGGGTTTAGGGTTTGGGGTTGAGGGTTAAGGGTTTAGGGTTTAGGTTCCCATGCATTCTGCATCTCCGCTGCCCAACTCTAGCGATGCTTCGGGTTCAGTTCATGCTACTTCTCACCGGAAATAACGATAACGGCAACAATGCCTCGCGTGAAAACGCCCAAGGCAGCGTAATTGGGGCGCGTATACTTGGGTTAAAGTACAGGCATCATTGGGTTGATTCCCCCAACCAAAAAATACTGTACATGTACATATATATATATACATATATACATATATACATATATACATATATACATATATACATATATACATATATACATATATACATGTATACATATATACAGAAATACATATATACATATATACATATATACATATATGTATATATATATATGTATACATATATATATATATATAAACACAGTACCCGCCCCCGGGTTTAGGGTTTAGGGCTTCGGGCTTAGGGTTTAGGGCTTAGGGTTTAGGGCTTAGGGTTTAGGGCTAAGGGCTTAGGGTTTAGGGGCCCCTCCTGGGAGTCGCAGTGGCGCGGTGGCACTCGAGGGGCTCCCTGGGGTCCTAGGCTGCAGCTGGGATCTCAACTTGTGGTTTGGGGTTGAAGGTTTTGCAAAGGGGCGAAGAGGTTTAACTAGGGTTTAGGGTTTAGGGTTTAGGGTTTAGGGTTTAGGGTTTAGGGTTTAGGGTTTAGGGTTTAGGGTTTGGGGTTGAAGGCGCTAGGGTTTTAGGGTTTTAGAGTATTTGGCTTTTCGGAGTTGAGATTCGGGAAGGGTTGATAGTTTGGGGCTTTCCTCCAAACAAGAAGCACTGTCCCTGGTGCAGACCTAGAACCTTTCGGCCTGAATCCTCCACGCACCACGCCCAGACCCTCAACAGATCCCGAATTTCGAGGGCACGCTGCCCCACGCAACATCCGATCCACGACCCGCTGTAGGCCACCCAGGGAATTTTAACACGGCAGTGGGCTCAAGCAGATTGAATCGACTTCATGACATACCCTCAACGCCAACCCAAAACCGTAAACCCTGTCACCTTTGACCCTTTAAACTCATAACCCTATATACCTTTCACCCTATAACCCCCTCACCCCATAACCCTATAACCCTAAACCCTAGAAGCCCTGAAGCCTTGGCCCTAAACCCTAAACCCTAAACCCTAAACCCGAAACCCTAGACCCTAAAACCTACCCCCTAAACCCCCTAAACCCCCTAAACCCCCTAAACCCCCTAAACCCCCTAAACCCCCTAAACCCCCTAAACCCCCTAAACCCTAAACGGGTTAGCAACCCTCTGTACACGTCGCGGCGTCGACAGGAGCGGCTCCCACTCGGCAGTGGCGCAGGGCTGGAAGTGGCGAATCTTCCTTGGCTTGTTTAGGGTTTAGGGTTTAGGGTGCAGGGTTTAGGGTTTAGGGTTTAGGGTTTAAGGTTTAGGGTTTAGAGTTTAGGGTTTAGGGGATCACCCACACAGACTGGGGTTCGGGGCGTTAAGGGTGTAGGACCCACACAGAAAAACAAAGACAAAAACCCTAAGGCCCTGAACTCCCGATACTCCCTAAACGTCACAATAGCGGGGGTGTTTCAGGGTTCAGGCCTCCAACAGGACTTCCCGAGATGAGGCTGCAAGATCTGTAAGGCAGCCACTCAACTTAGGGCTTAGGGTTTAGGGTTTAGGGTTTAGGGTTTAGGGTTTAGGGTTTAGGGTTTAGGGTTTAAGGTTTAGGGTTTTGGAGTTGCAGAGTCCAATTCAGAGGCTTGCTGTGCTTTTGCTGACAGAGGGGTAGCTTGCGTGGGGGTGTGTTGAGGAAGATGAGGACCGTTTACGTCGCATCGTTGGGGTTCATGGGCCGAAACCGACTCCCCAACAAAACGAACATAACTCACACAGCATGCAAACTCCGCCACAAGGTACCCAGCCATGACTTCCCCACAGCCGCTCCACTTGCTGGTCTCGATCGCAGGGCCCGCCTGTCAAACAACACGGCGGGTGCAACGAAGCCCTCAGCAAGGGGTTACAAGGTTACGGGTGTAGCGCTTATAGGGTTTGGAGTTTAGGCTTGGGAGGCATTGGGGCTTACAGCTTATCGTGACTTTCGGCTTGGTGTTTTCAAGGCTTTCGGCCTATACGGCAAGATAGGGCTCCCATAAGAATCGGTTGCGTTGCATCTTCGCCCTACGATGCTTTACGGGTTTATGGTTTTAGGGGCTGATGCAACCTTTCGCTTCCAGTCCCGGCCCCCTAAAAGAAGCCTAAACCCGAACTGCCTGTGCCGTGCCAATGATGCCAAGGACCAGAGGCGAAAACCGCACCAGCCATTGGCACAGGGCACGCATGCTGTTGCACCCATGACGAGGTCTTAGGGCTTAGGGTTTGCATGACTTAGGGCTTTTTTTGCGGGGTTTAGGGTTTAGGGTATAGGGTATAGGATATGAGGTGTTCGGGATCTGCAGACGGTGACTTGCCCGGGATTTGGAGGAAGGAACCTCACATCCGCAGCAGGCTTGAATTGCTTGGGATGTTAGGGCGCCAGGAGCCTAGAATTCGGGAAACTGGAAAGCTGTGGGGGTCTATGAATCAAGGTTGGGGAAGGCTTTCGGGGATGTACAGGAATTACAGGAATTTGGATCTCATGGGAAGGGGGGGGGATCCAAACAAAGTTTGCTGCGAGCCGGAGTCAACGATGAGAGCATGCCAGTCTGCGAAACCTCAAACCCTGAAGCCCAAACCCTCAGATTTCGGGTTTACCTGGGTTTAGGGTTTAGGGTTGAGGGTTTTCAAACCAGCGGCCCTAACACCCCTAAACCCAAATGAACTTGACACCCCTGAACGCCCTTCCCACCCGGGCCGAGAAGCCCTCCAACCAAGCGCTTGGCATCCTCGCTCTGTCTGAATGATTCCTACAAACCGCTACGCCCTAAACCCTAAACCCTAAACCCTAAATCCTAAACCCTATAAACCCTAAACCCTAGACCCCTAAACCCCTAAACCCCTGAACCCGCAAAACCAGTTTTGCTCGGTGAATGTGTCACGTTGTGGACTTTGAAGCTCTGGAAATTCAGGGGTGAGCCAAAAATGGCGACATCCCAGAACACTGCCTTCCCCTACTCAAGCACGGGGCAGACTAAGAACCCAAAAAAGGTTACCTAATAATCCTACAAGGGGTTTTATAACAGGAACCTACAAACAAGTAGGTTTGGGGTTCTTGAGGAGGGTTTAGGAAAGCACCGCGGCTGTTTTTCCGCGTTCAGCTCAGGGCGTCGCACGCGTTGCTTTCTTGGCCCTGTCCATCTCTCTCCAAAAGCGCGCAAAGGTCCAGGCTTACATCTCCCAGCCATGCAATATAGGGGCCTTATTAAAATTAGAACAGGGTTTGGGAGGTTGTTATAGTTTAACTACAAAGGGACCAGAAGGGAATATTACTAGCAATTATTCCGATTCCGACCGCCCAAAATTTCTCAACTGGCGGCGAGTGCCTGATTCAGCACCTCGTCCCTGACATCTGAATGCTGCTCTCGAAACCTCTATAAGTTTCGGAATCAGGGTGGTTAAGGGGGTTTTGGTCTTCAGGGGTCATATATAAGGGGTGAAGCCACAAACCCCCCGCCATAATGGGTTGACGGGGGCATCTGGAGGTTGAAGAGAAGGCGTCTTGCTGAGCCTGTCTGCGCGCAAAGTCTCTGGAGGAGGCCTAGCCATCTTGGCACGCGCTACGTCAGCGCCAGGCTGCTGCCATGGGTGGGGAGGACACAACACCAAGCTCAAACTGCAAATTCTGTGGCTGGCACGCGCTTTATACACAGGGGGCTTCAAGCTTCCGCATTTTTGGGGGAGGTTGTGCACGACCCACTCACCACGCTCACTTCTTCCAGGTTGCTTCAGCAGGACCTGGTGATGCGTGCTTGTTTTGGGACTTGCTTCCTTGCCTCCTCTCCAACTCCAGTACCATTTGCGTTTGGGGGTTGGGATCTGGTGAAGTGCTGGAAAGCTTCTGCAGGTTATGAGCACTGACCTCTACAGACCCTTTCACAAGTTTTTCTAGCCTTCGACACATGTCAACTAGGGATTTTAAATGTAAACCCATGTGAGCTTTCTAGCCTTTGACACCATGACAGCCGTGGTCAACACCCACACCCACAGGTCTCGAAACTGACTGTGAGACTACTCCATAAGACTGGGACCATATACTCCATACTTCTCTTACGATCAGCGGAATGTCGGTTTTTGGCTCCCTCCGAAAAAAGACTGCCAAAACATAGCTACCAAAACAGGTCCATCATGTAAGCTTAGAGAAATGACCCCTAAACCCTAAACCCTCAGGCTCCCATGACAATTAGGGGTATCCTGCTTGTCCCTGCAGATGGAGGCTTATACTTCGCTGCTGATTACCCTGGCCAAAAGAAGGTTGACCTGTCGATCATGGGGCCAAAGTCTGGGTAGGAGTATACCCCACAAAAGGTTTTTTTTTTCCAGGGTTGCCTACTCAGCTACTGGGGCATAATTTCTCAGGAGCTTCTGCTTGTGGTGTGACTTTCCAGGGCTGTCTGGGCCTGCGGATGTGCTAGCCCTGAACACCACAAGCAGGGCTGACCCTAAGTGTAAGCAAATATCCAGGGCGGGCGCCGAAGACGAAGTGCTTCTGCGGCTTAAGCTCGAAGGTCTTGCCGTTGAAGCTCACCTCTGCATCGAAAGGGCTTCAGAAGTCCCCAAAGTAGAAGGGAACCTTCAGCTCATTCCCACTAGCACCCCTATATATAGTTCGGATGGGGCATGCCCGTTTTGGGTAAGAAAACCACCGCCAACCTACTCAACCCATATCCCCTCAACCCCTCACTTCTGACAGAATCCCATCTAAATCCACCAAGAGTATCCTCAACCCATACCCTCCTTCGAAATCTCAACCCCTTAACCCAAATCCTTGCCCACGCCACCATATGCAATTACTACTTCCTCCCACATTGAACATGTCACCATGGCGAGAAATGCTACCGAAGGGGTCATTTCTGCCGGAAAACGCCGCGGAACTTTCGCACGCCTCATCGCCCGGCCTCCTCCCAACCTACACATACTACGACCTTCAGCAGACATGAGCTCCTAAAAACCACAAAGCCCCTAGAGGCCATAAGGCCCCCTAAAACCCCTAAAGTCCACACCCCTGTAGGTCGCATAAACCCTGCGACCCGAACATGACCCCTACGCCCTCAACCTAAAGCCCTGTGCCCCAGAGAAAAAAATGCGACACCCTGCACAGGCCGAGCTCTTTACACAGAGTAATCTAAAGGGCTTTAATCGGGAAGTTCAGGGTTCTGAGACTTTCTCAGCTAACCATTGCTGCAACAGGGGCCTCTGTACCAACGTGGCTTAGGGTGGAGCCTTTCGGCTGGACAGCAGAAGCTGCAACAGTAAACTCCGAAGGCCTGACCCAAGAGCCTAAGCCCTTTACCCTGTCCCTAGATCTTCCAGCCCGAAAAAACCGAAAAGCCCTTCAAACCCCAAACCGAACCCGAAGTCCCTAAAGCCCAGAACTCAAAAAACCCCAAACCTGTAGACCAAATAACCTTGAGCCAGGTGTCCTTGACACCGCTACCGTTGCTGCAGATTTTGTGGAGCTTCGGCAGGTCGAATGTCTGGAGGTACCTCAGCAGATTTCGGAGCCATGTGAAGGGCTCACTTTCGCCATATTTTGGGGGGGGGGGGGGGGAAGATGGGGCCTTGCACCCCCCCCCCCTCCCTTATCCGAAGCGCTAAACCACGGTGTTTTTACTCTGAGCTCTTTTCCCCTCAGCCCCGATGGCTTTCTAGGCCTTATGCTTTGGAAGAACCCGCGTCGCTTTCACCACTTTCACCTCCTGCCCCTAGGTCACTATGAAAGACCTCCGTCTCAAACCCCTTGGCTTCTCCTTTACATCGGATGCCTTCGCACGAGTGGGATCCTCATAAAGCCGCAACCGGAGTTCTTTCGGTGGCCCAAGTCCGAAACGTCCAGTCGCGCAAGGTTGCGGGATCTCCCCAATATGCGTAAGATCTAGGTTCGGTCTCGGCCATCTGGCTCGAGCCCACAGCTCCTAGCGCGTCTGCCTGCAAGGGACATGACGCTGGGAGAATAGGGTTTAGGGTTTAGGGTTTATGGTTCAGGGTTTAGGGTTCAAGGTTTAGGGTTTAGGGGATTAGGGTTTAGGGGTTCAGCCTAAACCCTAAACCCTGAACCATAAACCCTTTTAGGGTTCATTTGGTTCTCAAGGAACTCGGAACGGTTCAGGCGTTCGCCACACGGACAGATGGACTCTTCCTCTTGCAGGGTTTAGGGTTTAGGGTTTAGGGTTTCGGGTTTAGGGTTTAGGGTTTAGGGTTTAGAGGAACCCAAGACCTATCCTTTTGTAGGTTCCTGTTCTAAAACCCATTTAGGGGATTCTTAGGTAGCCTACAAAAAAGGAAACCCTAAACCCTAAACCCTAAACCCTAAACCCTAAACCCTAAACCCTAAACCCTAAACCCTAAACCCTAAACCCTAAACCTTCACTGCGTACGTGCGGTACGGGTCAAGGCCCTTCTAAGGCGAAATGTTGCGGAAAGTCATGAGCACGACCTACGCCTGGTACATGACTCACACCTAGACCTCACATGTAAACAACCCGAAACCCCAAACCCAAAACCTCGAAGTCTGAAACATCTGAACCCCTGAGGAGCCGTAAGGGCGCCACTCCTTGCAGATGCGCTCAGCCGTCGCATCCTTCTGAGTCAGCTCCTGCCGCCCTAGAACCCTCAAGCGGCGACCCCAGAGCCACCAAGGGGTTAGGGTTTAGGGTTTAGGGTTTAGGCTTTAGGGTTTAGGGTTTAGGGCATAGGGTTTAGGGTTTAGGGCGTTTAAGGCTTCTGGCGTTTGGGCCTTTGGAGTTTACGCTTAGGGTTGAGGGCTTTTGGAGTCTACGAAAGCCCTTATACTGTACCCAAGTCGCATCTCGATCTTCTACTTTCAAGTGACTCCGCCAGAGCTCACGAAGTCTTGTAAGGCTTCTCCCGAATTAAACCCTAAACCCTAAACCCTAAACCCTAAACCCTAAACCCTAAACCCTTCCAGGGTTTCTAGAGCTTTGGCTTCTCTTAGCGCAGGCCACTCGGGCCTTTAGCGCTGCCTCATTGAAGAAGGCGCCGCGGACCTCCAGCACACTTTTCTAGGGTTAGGGTTTAGGGTTTAGGGTTTAGGGTTTAGGGTTTAGGGTTTAGGGTTTAGGGTTTAGGGGTTAGGGGTTAGGGTTTAGGGTTTAGGGTTTAGGGTTTAGGGGTTTGGGTTTTAGGGTGTAGGATTTCGGGCTGCACCTGTAAAGCCTCCGAAAACGAGGCTTCCGAAGCATGTTTCTTCCAACCCTGGAGAAGGTAGAAAACCTAGGGGGAAAACAATAACCAAGAAGTGAAAACACCCAAGAATGGAAGGTTATTTTCAGGTTTAGCATGTCCCAAAAGAGGTTAAGGATGCCCTAAGGCCGTACTCAGCACCTCAACCACAAGCGCTACACCTGCTTCCAGGGTTTCGATAGAAATGGCAGGACCCTGTAACACCACGCGTGGGCATGTTGTCAGCAAGTAAGTTCTGGACTTGTCAGCTATATCGCCAAAACTGTCTGCAGCAAGCAGAAAGGTTCCGAGAGTCCGGCCGTAATGGTCACGACCAGCTCATCATCATCCAGGATAGGGAAGCTGTCCTGGTTTATGACGACCTCAGAGCACGCGGCATTCGGCGTAGGGGTCCATGTGATCCGTCCTCATGCTATTTCTACATAACCTTGAATTCTCAATCACACACAAGGACCCCCCCCCCCCCCCCCGGTGTGGACCTTGTCTGAATATGAGCCACACAACTTCAGGTAACTGTCCCTGCCGTCAACTCAGCTAACATGCTGCCAAAGTCATGCACTGAATGGACCTGCAAAAATCGCGAAACATGTCTACGCTCTGCTCGCCCATTGAATCCCGAACTGGAAACGTGAATCCTTGACCCGACCCCCCTGCCTACTGCCAAACCCTCAACTCTCATTCAACCGTACGCCCATGAAGAGCTCAGAACAAGGCTCCGCTAACAACAGCTACTCCCCAAGCCTTGTGCTTCCGCCCTCCCCCCTTGCACCCCGGACCCCTCCCCCCCTCCCCGAACCTCCCCCCCCCCACACCCCATGCCCCCCCACCCCCCACCCAACCCCCTCCCCAGCCTCATGGCCTTGCATCACGGAAGAATCCCAAAGATCCCTGGCCAGGGGCGGTTTTTGGGATTTTGGGGTTTCTGCTTTGAGGGTGGAGGCCTGTCTAGGTTGCAGGGCTTACTTGGGGCACCGAGGCTTCAGGCTTTGAGGGTTTATGGGTTTATGAGTTAATGGGTTTATGGGTTTAAATGGGTTTATGGGTTTAAATGGGTTTATGGGTTTATGGGTTTATGGGTTTATGGGTTTATGGGTTTATGGGTTTATGGGTTTATGGGCTTATGGGTTTATGGGCTTAGGGAACCTCTGCAACCCTAAACCCGGAACCCAACTTCGGCCAAACGATGATGTTTAGGGTGACCTGGGGGGGGTGACCTTGGAACTCCGTGAGTCTTTTTTTTTGGTTTGGGTAGATGTGAGGGCTTATGCGACTGGGGGGCACGGGAATGAGAAGTTGAGAGGCTGGATCTGGGGCCACTGGAATGAAACCATCCCTTTTAGTTGAGTTCTTAGACTGGAGGGGCCCTCAGCCTATTATTCTTGTTGCCCCGCAAATCTCTTAAGGGTTAAGCGTTCAGAGTTTCGGACTTGAGTGAATGAATTGTGCTCACGGTTAAGTACGGTTTCCTGCTCACTCATGAGAGCTTGGGCTAAAGTTCGTGCGCACAATCTGGAAGCAAAGCACAGTGGCACAATTTTTAGCCTCCGTGACATGGATCTGCAGAGTGCGTGTATAACTTTGGGTTTGGGGATTGGGCCGTAGGATGGTTTAAGATGAACCACTGGGAAGGTTCCCCCTTATGCTAACAGCCCCTAACAATTTCAAGCTCAGGAGAGGGGGAAAAAAACACCCGTGGGCCAACCTCCGGAGCAGCTTGTGTATGTAGTCGCGCTTCTGCCTTAGTCCCCAAAGGTTACACCGCTAGCCGGGGGGGGGGGGGGGGGGGGTGGTTTTAGGGTTTAGGGTTTAGGGCTTAGTGCTTAGGTTAGGGCTTAGGGCTTAGGGTTTAGGGTTTAGGGTTCAGGGCTTAGGGTTTAGGGTTTAGGGTCTGGGCTTTCTGGGGCATGGGCTGGAGAACCTGTTGCGTGGAGAAGGGGGAATATCCTTGGGGACCAAAGGAACCCTAACAATGGGGCCATAGGGGTGGTTGTCAAAATTATGATCCCTTTTGGGGTACCCTAAATATTAGGTGCCGTATTCTCATAGGGATCCAAAAAGGGACCATAATTTTGACGGCCACCCATAAGGTGGGTTTCCGAATACAGGGGTACCCTTTTTGGGTTCCTAAAATAAAGATTGTCGTGTTTGGGGGTACATTCGGGGTACCTGTACTGTTGCAATTGCGAACACGGCATATGAACGATCGGGCTGATGTGGACGGCAGCTGAAAGAGTGTTCTTCCTATAGCCTCGGCCGCTGTTGTGGCGGTTGATGGGAATCAGTCGTTCCTGTGCTGGAAGGAACTTCCCGACTAGGTTTAGGGTTTAGGGCTTTAAGGTTTAGGGTAGGGCTGCCCTTTATCCACCAACCTCTAAACCCTAAACCCTGAACCTGAAATCTAAACCCTCAATAAACACCGACAAACAGCCGAGGTGCTTCATAGCCTTGCCTAGCAGGCCTTTACTCTTCTTGCCGGGCTTGACCTGCACAAGCTGAGCTCGCGGCAGGGGTTGAGGGTTTAAGGGTTTAGGCTCAAGGGTTTAAGGTTTCGGGTTTAGGATTATGGGCTTAGGATTAAGGGTTTACGGTCTCTGTAGGGGGTTTCTCGGGTTCAGGGTTTGGTCTTCCCCTCAGTCCGGACCCTAAGCTTCTGAGCGTGAGAAAGCAAAAAAACACACAAAACACAAAATCTCCCCCCCCCCCCCCACACACACACACAGTAAACCCTAAACCTTAACCCTTAAACCCTCAATGGCTATCTGCAAAAGCGCTTACAAACCAATGGAGAGCGCCTTCAGGCAGCAAGCATTGAGAAAAAAAATATCGCCTAGAGTTTGCAAACCCTGAACCCTGAAACGCCCAAAGAAACCCCGCAAGCCATAAGCCATTAAACCCTTGCATCCTAGACATACAAACCGGCAAACCTAAACCTCAAGGGTGACTGAGGCTTGAGAGACATTCCTGACGGTTAGCGATTGAGTGGGAGCTTACGGGTCTGAGCCCTGGGCAGAATTTAGCTTTATGGTCTGTAGGGTTTGTTTGCTGAAGAGCTTGCGGGGGCCCTTGATTGAATCTGACCATGCTTGGCTATCGTCGGTTCGAGGCTAGTTTTGGTTTTCGACGGTCACCCGGGTGAAGGTCATGGTTCAAGCCCATAAGCACAAGGTGAGACATTCTAACTGCCCGTGGCAGCCCGATCAAGAGATGACTGATGTGCTGCACAGATGTCGTTGCAAAAGACCTCTTGAGTCTGCAGCGGTGCATCCAGCTTCGCAAATTCGCAAGATGTCACCAATCATCTTGATTGATGCGGTCCGAGCAGCTGAAAGCCCGAGCAAAACATTACTGAATAGAGTGGGAGAGATTGGGGGGGGGGGGGGGGGGGCGGGGGCATAAAGCATCACAACGCAAAGCAATGAGCAACGCCCGACCCGATGCCTAACCAAATTGGGGGACTGAAGGGCAAGCTGTGGCATGCTGGGTCATGCTGGGTCGCTGCTGCATGCAGCAGGGAGTACGGACACTGTCAGGCGGCCACGATGTCGAAACTCCAGCAGCCCGGCACGCAAAAAAAAGTCAAAACCCTGAAGTTCCTTGAGAACCAAATGAACCCTAAAAGGGTTTATGGTTCATATACCCCAATAAGGATTATAGTAGTATAAGGTATAAGGTCCCAATTTTAGGGTTCATTTGGTTCCCAAGGTTCTCTAGGACTTGCTGACGCCAATGACGACTGAGATCCACTCAAGTGCACCGTCATCGCGGCAGAAACTTTAGAGAATCTATCGCACTGCACATGCCCCAAAGACCACTTAGAACCCGATGAAAAAAAAACCCTCAAAGTCACGCATCTGCCCAGTAAACCCGGAGGCTTGAAAACCTAAATCCAATCTCTACAACACACCCACCCCTCCAAACCCCCCACGTCTGCAAAAAAAATTGTCTGCAAAACTTGAAGCAAGAACTCGACATGGAGTCCTTCAGACGGACTCGGAAATCGTCTTGAAATGGCGCAAAGCCATCAACTCACACTCCACGGGAGAGCCCCGAAAGGCATTGGCGAGGAAATCCGGCACCTGCGCATGTCAGTTGATCCCGGGCTTTTTGGGGGCTTCTGTGTTGCCAGGAGACTAGGCTGCCTTAAGTGCTTACAAGCCGTACTTCCGAAACCCAGACCCCAGACCCCATGTAAACCCTCATGCTCGGGATTCGGAATCTTGGGGAACCTCCGCGCCCCCCCAAACCGGGCAGTCCCCAAAACTGGCAGTTCCCTTTCCATGGGGACCGAATGAACCCTAAACGGGTTATGGTGCATATATACATGAACCGGGATTATAGTAGCATAGGGTAATATGACCGCCAATTTTAGGGTTCATTTGGTCCTCAAGGTTTTGGCTGGCGCAAATATCGGATCCGCCCTCTAGGGTTGCCGCAAGTTTCTGTTTAACCCTAAACCCTAAACCCTAAACCCTAAACCCTAAACCCTAAACCCTAAACCCTAAACCCTAAACCCTAAACCCTAAACCCTAAACCCTAAACCCTAAACCCTAAACCCTAAACCCTAAACCCTAAACTAAACCCTTGGTGAACAAAACGGGTCGACTCTGGGAGACACAAGAGAGCCCGCACGAAGTCAAGTAACACGATCTTGTGATAGACAAGGTATCTTATGGTGCTATTACATTATACGTTTTTTTTTCTGCTGTTCGGCTATTGTACAGTTATACAATTATACCGTTACAATACGAACATGCCAGTATTGTACCATTGTCTTAATATGATACTCATTCATATAGATACAAAGTTTTGAGTGGCTGCACCCTTGCAGTCAACAAAACGCATCAGGATCAGAATGTTACTAGGGTTTAGGGTTTGTAGGGTTTAGGGCTTATGGCCGTTTAGGTTTAGGGCAAATCGAAACTTGGAACAGTCGAGAATCAGCAACTTGGGCAGACCTGTCATCCCATAAGGGCAACGAGTCGGGCAAACATAGCCCGCGTGATACGACCTAGCCCAGTGGTAAAATAGTTGGCAGGCGCACACGGTTTCTAAGGTTTGTTCAATGCTTGGACCCCACCTGTTGAGCCTTCCGAACCCGTTTTTTTTGAATTAGAATATAAATTTGATTCTATTAGTCTTGAAAACGTAGACAGGTTTCAGGCCCAGAATGGGGTCCCCTCCGAAAAAATCATGTCAACCCAGGGCCTAAACCCTTTATGAAGAACTTCATCCCCCTAAAACCCCAAACCCCAAAGCACCTGGGTATCCTTTGCCAGGTCCATTGCTGAGGACCCACGATGGTTCCGAATCTGCAGGCGCGCGCCGGCAGCGATCAAAGCAGCCGCGGCCTCGAAGGAGTGTTTTTGGATTCTTTGGTTTAGGGTTTAGGGTTTAGGGTTTAGGGTTTAGGGTTTAGGGTTTAGGGTTTAGGGTTTAGGGTTTAGGGTTTAGGGTTTAGGGTTTAGGGTTTAGGGTTTAGGGTTCAGCACTTAGGGTTTAGGGTTTAGGGGGCGTAGCCTGGGGCATAAATGGTCGGGCCTCCACTCAGCCCCATGGTATGGTCAGGTGGGGGGGGTCCTAAGATGGACAGTTAGACGCTATGCTGCACGTGCGTGCCTTGTAAACAAATACTTTACAAAGGAAAAACCCGCAGAATAGACGCATTGAAGCACCCTTAGCATCTGCACAGTGTGTCCCGGGCGGGGGCGCAGAGGGCGCGGAGCGCTAGGAGGGCGCGGAGGGCGTGCAGGGCGGAAGGTTATACCATACCCCAAAGAAGTGATCCCAAAAAGTGAGAGGATGATCATTCCGGATTCGAAGAGTGTTCCAGAAAACTCAGAGTTCCGGACTTCGGGCTTCGACGATGAAGCACCGTGTGATGATTGAAAGGGAGAGGCAACCCTGGCCCCTCGTCAGTGTCACGGCAGCCAGGCCCCAGAGAGTGTGAGGGTATGGCAGACAAAGCCTTGACTCAGCGCTGAGCTGTTAGGGGTTCTGAGCTTCGGAGATCGTAGGCCGGGGTATGTTAGAACGACGGTCAGCCAGGCAGGTTCGGGGATCATAGGGACAGGCAGGCCACGAAGCCTGCTCAGTGCTCATGGAGAACCTGTTGCAACGTTGCAATGTGCCATAAAGGCCATCGAAAGTCGCACCGGCCCTTTGGGAGCTTGTTTCGAGGGCACTTCTGTCACCTCCAATCTTGATGAGGATTAAGAGCGAGACTGAAGCAATCTCTTGTCAAGGCTGCGTGGCCAGCAAACCGAAATGCAGGCCGCCAGTGGCAGAGAGCTAGGTCTCGGGCTTGGAATTTTGTGCGGGGGGGAGGTTGCAAATCTGGTTTGGAGGTTTCGAATAGAATCTGGGAATGCTGAGGGAGCAGGATTCAGCTCGGGATGGGGAGTCCTGGCGCGGGGGATCGAGGCGGTTCGGTGCCTTTGGGGGCAGGCTGCTGAATCGCCTAGCTGAGCGGGTGAACACACAATCCCGTCCCGATATTCAGTCACATCATATACGTCACCCCCTACCCATGGAGTTACATGAAAGTATTCGGGGGCCGGGGCAGGGTGGTTTTCATATAGTGTAAGAATATTACGCCGCTCAGGTCTTTGAGCCTCGTAGGCTCCACACATGATGCTGCACATCAGCGGCGTGGCGCCCTGGTGCTGGTAGGCGTACTGACTGAAGGCGGTCTTCCGCCATGAGTGCCTTAGGCTCAGGTGGCAACTGGATACTACTTGTTAGACATGTCCAAAATTCGAAAAAGCACTCTCCAGTTGCAACAGTCAGATGGTGTGCCTTAAGCTCATGTAGGCCATCATCATCTGGAGCATGGCCGACTTGGGAAGGCAGACAGGGCCATCCACATCGGCTCCCGCCTCCAGCAAGGCGGCCACCACCGCACCGGAAGCGCCCCCGAAGAGGATGCTGCAGTGGAGGGCTGCAGTGGTGTCCTTCTGTGAGAGGCCTCCCGCGCATAACTCCTCAATGAGTCGGACCTGAAGCCCAGCATCATTCGTGCCGACCCCACCCATCAACGTCACGGGCGTGAAGTTCAGCTTGTTCCGAAGGAGGGTGGACCCACCTGCTGCACAAAGCAGCCCAAGGGCCTCCACGTTTGCCCCGGAACATGCGAAGTGCACGGCGGTGGTGCCCGTAGCATCGCCCTGGTTGGGGTTGGCCCGGTGTTCCAGTAGGACCTGAGGGCCCAGATCATGCCAGTGTTTGTCGAGTTTTGGGAGAAGGCATTCAGTATGAACTTACAGGGCTTTGCGCTTTGAAAGTTTGGGGTCCAGGGCTCAGTTGCAGGTTTCAGGATTTAAGTTGATATGCGGGTCAGGTAGTCAACGCGGAGACCCACAGCCAACCAGAAACTTGTGTGGCACGCGCAACCAATTGTTAGAACCACTGTGGATCAGCATGGCAGATCGCGACATTATCATCATGCGCAGCGTCTGCAAGTACATTAGTGAATCATTAGTGCTCTACTACAGATGAGTGCGGTCTTGCCAGAGGGCTCTTCAACCCCAAACCACACAAACGCCCCGGGACCTGGATGGCATCGATGTGGTTGAGGCACACGCACATTATGAGGGCGGAGGCGCCGGCAGACATGAAGACCTGTTCCTGGGATGCCTGTCCGATGCGGTCGTTCACATTTGCGCGCTGCTCCAGTAGTGCTACAATCAGAAGGGGGTTGCCACCGAGGGCAGCATAACACAAGGGAGTCCACCCGGCTTCATCGCGCTCCACCGGGCTGTGCAGTCCATGTTGGTGTAAGAACTTCTCCAAGAAGAAGTCGCTGGGGTCCTCTTGTGTGCTGTCGAAGCCAGGAACCACATCATCGATGTATCCTGTTGAGAAGCCTCGCAAGTGCACGTGCTGCAGATTCAACAGGACTCTGAAGTTGTGAAGGTCTCCTCGTCGGAGGTAGAAGTGCAGCTTCTGCAGTACCATGCTGTGCACCACCACTGCAACCCTCTCACGGTCTGAGGGTATCGTGAACTTTCCCAAGCCGACAGGTTCGCGGAGGAACTCGAAAGGGACAGTGTGGTTCTGGTGCTCCGCGCATTGGACTTCGACCAGGAAGGCCGTGTGGACCGTGCTGAGATGGACGGCCAATCTCTCCTGAGAACTCCGCTCGACTCTTGGGCTTAGAGAACCCGAACTGAACAAGAAGCGAACCAAAAAGGAAGCCTTTAAAGCTGCCCTAAAGAGAGGACCCAGGGACCAAGCGACACCAGCCCCTCGTGGACCAGCTGCTCTTGTTCAGAAGCTCCTGTGACTCCCTGTGGATAATGGGAGGGCAGAGTATGACGACACAGCAGCACATCTCGATGTAAGCCGGGATGCTGTGAATCGCCAGTTCCTGGTTACTGGGATCGTTGCCTCCATGACCGGTGCCCTCCTGCTGGGGGCAGGAGAAGTAGTCATACCAGATGAAGAGGGGCCTTGACCTTGGCAGGCCAGCAACCATTTCATGACAACGGCACCCTTTGTTGGGGTTGCTTACGTTACAAGGGAACCCAGAACCCCAAAAAAAAGTAAAGGGTACCACTGGGCTACCAAGTGACTGCATCTCAGAGGTAGGAAGGCCAGAACTTGAGCCCATCATGAACTCTGACTGCAGCGACACGGGGATGCGCGGTTCCGAGAGCATTCGCAGCAGGGCTGCTTGCCTAGACCCAGGAGCAACCTAGGAATAAAAAAGGGTGCCTTTTGTGGTAATAAGGGGGCATAAAAGGGAACCCCCACCCTAAAAGAAGGAAACAAGGGCCTACTCCGGGTCCTAGTTGCAGGACCTTGAGCTGCTTGCCACTGGGATCAGGGTGGTTGGTGCTTGCCCATTCGTGCGACACGAAGATCGCCAAGCCCTTCAGCCGGGAGAACTCCACCAAAGCGCCCTCCTTGAGCAGCTCTTCGTGGCCTAGGATGCACTAAAAAGCCTCCGAAAAATATTCCTAAATATGATCCTCTGAAACCCAATAAGGGAGTAAGGGAAGATATAAAATGTTCCTTAAGGGCCAACCTAGTGACTCTTCACCTCCACCATGCGCAGCAGCTGGCCGACAGGAACCACGAACCTGGGCTTGCAGGGTGTTGCGGGACTTTGATTCTGGGGCTCGTGCAAGGGGTTCAGGGTTCAGGGTTCAGGTTTTAGGGTTCAGGGTTCAGGTTGTAGGGTTCAGGGTTCAGGTTGTAATGTTGGACTCGTTTTAGTACGTAGGGGTCCCCCCCCCCCCCCCAAAAAACAATTTTGGGGTTTTCGGGGATCCTGAATAGTGTGGGCTGGGGCTGGGACGGGGCTGGGGGTAGGGCGGCTAGGGGTCGAGGGTTGAGGGGAAGCCTTGAAGCTTGAGGGTCTAAGCTTTCCAGGCTTTGTAGCTCCGCGGTCGCCGGGGCTCCGCATAAATGCGGACCACCGAAACAACTTGCTAAAGCGAATCAGGGCAGCTCGTGGGCTACTCCCTTGGAAAATTGTTTGGGGGCCTGTTTCGTAATGAAATTTTAAAAGGAATTTAAATAAGGCTGGACACCAAAAAATTCCGGAGTTTCTTATTCAAAACTGTTTTTAGTTTTTGGCTCCCCGGCCCCCCGCCAATCAACCCCGGCCGGCAAACATCGCATTATTGAGGCCCACCCTATCAATGGGGGGGTCCCCTATAAGGTTTCCGGAACATCGCATAATAGTGCCCCCAACCACTAAAGCCAGTCCAACATTAGGGTTCAGGGTTTAGGGTTAAGGCTAACGGTTAAGGGTTTGGGGTTTACGGTTTAGGGTTTACGGTTTGGGATGTAGGGCTTAGGGGGCTTCGAAGGCTGTAGATGGTGTAGGATGGGATCCTGAGACTTCTGAGGCCGCAACCCCTAGAGGACGAGGGGCCGCCCAGGAGTCCCCTATGCCCTAAGCCCAAATAAAACCATGAGCACCCAAAACCCTAAACCCTAAACCCTACACCCTAAACCCTAAACCCTAAACCCTAAACCCCAGACCCCAGCTAGACGCTCCCAGGTTCTGGCAGGGAGCATGGGGAATCGGGGCTCTGAGGAAGACTGCGCCACACAGCTTTGGCGCAGGGCCCTGGCATAGGACTCCAGAGGACTCCTGCGACTCAGGGGTTAAGGGGTTTAGGGGTTTAGGGGTTTAAGGGTTTAGGGGTTTAAGGGTTTAGGGGTTTAAGGGTTTAGGGTTTAGGGGTTTAAGGGTTTAGGGTTTAGGGGTTTAAGGGTTAAGGGGTTTAGGGGTTAAGGGTTTAGGCGTTTAAGGGTTTAGGGGTTTAGGGGTTTAGGGGTTTAGGGGTTTAAGGGTTTAGGGTTTAGGGGTTTAAGGGTTAAGGGGTTTAAGGGTTTAGGGGTTTAGGGGTTTAGGGGTTTAGGGGTTCAGGGGTTCAGGGGTTTAGGGGTTTAGGGGTTTAAGGGTTAAGGGTTTAGGGGTTTGGGGGTTCAGGGGTTTAGGGGTTTAAGAGTTTAGGATTTAGGGTTATTAGGGTTTGGGATTCAGCAAATAGGTTGAGGGATTGGAGTCTCCTCCTCTGCCTGCCGCAACAGGGTGGCCGTGTCCATGGCATATCCGTCACCCCAGATCCTCTAGGCCTTGCAAGGTTAAGGGTGTCGGGCCAATTTTCGGGAGCCCCTAAATCACACATCTTTCACCTCGAGGGTCTTCAAAAGGTTCAGGTAGGGGGTTTTAGTCAGGGCTGAAGGCGTGGTTTAGGGTTCAGGGCCTCAGGGAGCTGCTTCAGGCCCAAGGCGGGGGTGTCTGGTCCGAAAGAAAGCAGCGGAGAAGCGTGGAGTGCAGGGACACTGGGCACTGGGCACATGTCCCTAAACCCCAAACGCCAAACCCCAAACCCTAAGCCCCAAACCCCACACCCAAAACCCTAAACCCTAAACCCGTGCGAGGCAGCCGTATCTGCAGCTGCTTCTGTTCGCCCAGGAATCGGACGCTTTGTGGTGCATGCATACATGCCTGCATGCCTGCTCGGCATCCACGTGAACCACACTTAAAACACCAAAACCGACGTAGCTAAACTGGAGCCCCGCAGCTAGCAACTGCTAGGTCTGATCACACCTCAGCCCACATGTCCACAGGGTCATCTTGCTGCAGCTTTGTGTCCTGTCCGCACACTTTGGGGCTTACGGCTCGGGAGGTGGAGATTATTCCGAATATACCCTGTAGCCCGCCTAAACCCCAGAGTCGCAATCGTACCATGAGGTTGGGAACTCTGAGCGGTTGCAATGGCAGAGCCTAGCCTGGCTTGGGGTTTGGGATTGCAAGAGAAGCCCAGACACAGCTTCGGAGGTGGCCGAGTAGGTTCCGTCTTCTTCGGATTATATAAAGTTTAGGGTCGAGGTTTTAGGGTTGAGGGTTGAGGGTTTTGGGGGCTTGTGTGTGTGTGTGTGTGCGCGTGCGCGCGTGCGCGCGTGCGCGCGTGCGCGCGTGCGGGCGGGCTGCGGGCGGGACGCGCGCGCGCGCGCGCGTGCGCGCGCGTGCGCGCGAGGAGCGTGCGCGTGCGTGTGCGTGCGTGCGCGTGGTGGGTGCGTGAGTGGGTGCGTGGGTGCGTGGGTGCGTGGGTGCGTTTGCGTGGGTGCGGGTGGCGTGGGTGCGTGGGTGCGTGGGTGCGTGGGTGCGTGGGTGCGTGGGTGCGTGGGTGCGTGGTGTGCGTGGGTGCGTGGGTGCGTGGGTGCGTGGGTGGCGTGGGGCGTGGGTGCGTGGGTGTGGGTGGGTGGGTGGGTGGGTGCGTGGGTTGTGAGTGCGTGGTGCGTGTGAGTGCGTGTGGGTGCGTGGGTGCGTGGGTGCGTGGGTGAGTGGGTGTGGTTGCGTGGGTGGGTGGGTGGGTGTGTGTGTGTGTGTGTGTGTGTGTGTGTGTGTGTGTGTGGGTGTGGGTGTGGGTGTGTGTGTGTGTGTGTGTGTGTGTGTGTGTGTGTGTGTGTGTGGGTGTGGGTGTGGGTGTGGGTGTGGGTGTGGGTGTGGGTGTGGGTGTGGGTGTGGGTGTGGGTGTGGGTGTGGGTGGGGGTGGGTGTGGGTGTGGGTGTGGGTGTGGGTGTGGGTGTGGGTGTGGGTGTGGGTGTGGGTGTGGGTGTGGGTGTGGGTGTGGGTGTGGGTGTGGGTGTGGGTGTGGGTGTGGGTGTGGGTGTGGGTGTGGGTGTGGGTGTGGGTGTGGGTGTGGGTGTGGGTGTGGGTGTGGGTGTGGGTGTGGGTGTGGGTGTGGGTGTGGGGGTGGATGGCGGCGCGCGTGCGTGCGTGTGCGCGTGCGCGTGCGTGTGCGTGCGTGCGTGCGTGCGTGCGTGCGTGCGTGCGTGCGTGCGTGCGCGTGTGCGTGCGTGTGTGTGCGTGTGTACGGGGGGGTTACCGGTAGGTCGAGACTCGCAGCCCAAAGCAGCTGCGCCGGTCCTTTCGCATCTTCTGGACCTTCCGGCTCACAACAACAATGGGTTGTTAAGGGGGGGGGAAGGGGGGGGGGGGGGGGGGGAAGGGGAAGTATAAGGTTCTTAAGGGAGCGTCCTTAAAGGGGGTTTAGGGTTTGGGGTGTAGGGGAATCTATGGGGTTCTTAAGAGAAGGGGGTATGTCACCCAAGGTTCCCTAATACTCCCCAGTACTCCCTAAGTCTCCCTAAGCTTCCCTAAGGTTACCTAGGTACCTCCCCCCCTTGGAACCCCCCTCCCTTACGAACCCTATAAGTTTAGGGCCTGGGGTGGGGGAGGGGGCTGAAACCTCAGGTCACAAAGCCTAAATTCCCCATACCCTGAACTTCCCTAAGCCTTGTGTTCGAGCCGATGGAGACAAGATATGAAGTAGGGTATATATTTCTTGTACCCCCAAAAGGACACCAAGTATATACACTCACCAATATTAAAAAGGAACCTTATAAACACTCACCAAAAACGGTAATATAAACCGTGTTTCATATCAACTAAGGCTTGGGGTCCCGTTTGGGTCTGGGGGTGGCAGTGCTCTGCTTATAGTTTCATGTGCTCTAACCAGGGCACATCGACTTCTTGTTAAAGATTGCAGCGTTTGAGGGAGGGTGTTAAAGTTTAGGGTTTAGGGTTTAGGGTTTAGGGTTTAGGGTTTAGGGTTTAGGGTTTAGGGTTTAGGGTTTAGGGTTTAGGGTTTAGGGTTTAGGGTTTAGGGTTTATGTTTTAGGGTTTAGGGTTTAGGGTTTAGGGTTTAGGGTTTAGGGTTTAGGGTTTAGGGTTTAGGGTTTAGGGTTTAGGGTTTAGGCGGGGCTTGTGGTTGAGATGGGCCGAGAACTTGACCCTTCAGGCCGAACACTTTGCCCGAGGCGTCCCTCCACGGGCGCCTTGTTCACGATATCCCGCGAGATCGCCATCAGCTTTAGGTCCTCAGGAAGCTGGGGGTTTAGGGTTTAGGGTTTAGGGTTCAGGGTTTGCTTTTGCTGGCATGAGGGCGTGTGGTCTGCAGGTTCGGACACCTCAGCTGGCCCAAAATCCTGAACTCCGAAGCCTAAACC